ATGCCATCCCTACTATCTTGTTTGCATTTTTTTGAAGGATTGATATTAGCCATCCCTACATTTACTTCCTTTTTTTTAAAAAAGTTTTTCCTTTACTTGTTTGCTCGTTGTTGTTTTGTTAATACAGTGTTGAAATAGACAAGGGAAGGTTCTATTTATAACCAAGTTGTAAATACAACGAGGCTCTAACTGTAATATTTATTTATCTGTTATTGGCTGGTAATTCCTATTTCACCTTGTACTTAAGCTTTTTTTTAAAGAAACACTAAATATCTGTAAAAAAGCTAACTTCAAGGGGTAATGATAACATCGTTTACACAAGAATTATGTTCTTTTTTTAATTACTACTGGTTAATAATACTTATAAAAGCGGATACTCCGTTTGAAAATATATCACCTCAATGAAATTGTTTGACACCACTGTTATCATGTAATAAATAAAGAAGCAAAAGAATGAAGAACAAGAAATTCAAACTTTTTGCTATGATATTTACACACATCCCCAGAACTTGTGACTCAGTCATTACATGGATATTGTTATAAAACTAAACACTCTATAGTATTGTAAGGTTCCGATAACCTATTGAGGAGATATTTAAAATACCATTTCGATGAACAATCCGAGCAATCCATACAAAATTTGAAATGAAATAGACCCTGAAGTGGACCCGGTATGGCCTGGTGGTTAGGGCGCTCGATTCGCAATCGGTCGCGGGTTCGAATCCCCGTCTCACCAAACATGTTCGCTCCTTCAGCTGTGGGGGCGTTATAATGTGACGGTCAATCCCACTATTCGCTGTTAAAAGAGTAGCCCAAGAGTTGGCGGTGGATGGTGATGACTAGTTGTCTTCCCTCTAATCTTACACTGCTAAATTAGGGACAGATAGCCCTCGTGTAGCTTTGCCCGAAATTCAAAACAAATAGACCCTGAAGCTTTGGCAGCGGTGCACTGCCCTCTTTTCCATAAAAAGTGATGAATTAAATTTGTAAAAAAAACAAAGTTTATACAAAATACGACATGATTGCAGAAAAGATAAAATCTTTAATAAATGATTTCAATTATATTAGCATAAAATACCCGCGCTTCGCAGCAGGGTTCAAAGGCCACCCTCATGAGACCCCAATGTACCGCTAAAGCTCCTCCATTTAATTCTGTAGCTAGTCGAAGAGTGCACCTGGCCGTAATACCCGAGTATGTGTGTTAAGATTAGTTTCACCACTTGTAAATAAGGATGGGGGATACAGTTTCAAACATGGCGTACCCGGGATCCCGAGGAGGGCCAGGAAAATAAAACCCCAGAGCAGATTCAGGTTCAGCGACGCTGAAAACCTACTTTTAAATCTCGTTATGTCTGGGTGATCTTCGGGGAGAGTTTGCTCCCCCTCCCCCCTTGGTAAGAGGGTACGCCATATAGATTACGACACACTCAGCACCGCGAGTCTGCCTGCCAAGTTTGGTTCCGCTAACTCCAGAACTGTGGGAGGTGGTAGCTGTAAATACATACATACATAGCTACAATCCGAATTAATAAAAAATATCCATTTCACGATAAAAAGTTCATTACGTGAGCACTAACACATTAAACGAGGGTAAATTCAAAGTGCACCCAGAAGTATAGCATGATTGCGATAATATCTCCGGAAGCATATCTTGGCTGGGCCAGGCGTGGCTTGTTAGTTAGATTGCTCGTTTCGCTATTTGGAACCGTTGATGCGCTGTAAGAGTAACGATCAGATCTGTTAAACAAGAGTAGCTCGAATAGTTACTTTTCTTCAATTGTATCGGTTCTGAATTAGGAACAGCTGTACGTAGATATCCTCGTGCAATTTTCTGCAAATATTCTTAAATATAATTTGAAGTTAGTTAAAATATTGAAACTTATAATAGCTGATGGTCAATTACTATATTTTAAAAGCAATAATAAATTACTGTTTAAATAAATAAATAATTTGTTCAACCTCTTGTATTTTTTTACCCAAAAGTATTGTAAGTTTAATTCATGAAGCATCATAATAAGTTTCAGTTTCGTTTTTCTGCTAATTTTGATACAGAGAAAAGCCTTCCGGAGTCACCCAACACCCCAGTAGGGATTAAAGTGTCACCTTTTACTCTAGCCCAGACTGGACCAGTATCGATGGAGAAGGGTATTCCTACTTTGTTCAAGTATGCACAATCACCAGTGGCGCCAAAAGTCACCTCAATGTATTCCAAACTCGATCACAAAAAAATCGATGCTACCATGTACCTAGAAGGGGTAAGACTATCTCGCATTTATATGTACTGTCAGGAAGAAATGAGGTTTCAACTTGCATTAAGGGGTGTACTGTATATAATATCAAAGCCACTACTTTGATGTTGTGCTTTTATCATCTTTTCAGATCAAATTTCCACATGATGCTTTAAACAATAGGCAAAATGTTATTGTTTCATATCTATAAAAAAAATTAAAAATCTCCATTTTCTCCTAGGAGCAGAAACGCAAGAAAAAATGGCAAATAAGAAGTTGATGTCAATTTAACAGACTTAACTTTTTGATAATTTTGAAGCTCAGTGTTTGCTTGTAGAAACTTGTAGCTAAGAAACGTTAATCCTGCTTAATTTTTGTCTTCGATTCTGTCGCAAAGCAAAGGAAAAAAGGGTTGAAACTTACATATTTTTTGCTTGTAAATGTATACGAGGGTGTCTATAAAAGTTCTTGGCCTAACGTATAAAGAAAATCACTAGTTCAACTATGATTTATTTTTCAACATAATCTCCTTTTGTGTCTATACACTTGAGCCAGCGGTGCTCTAAGGCATTTATGCCTTTCGGAAATATCTTTTCTTCTTTGTCCTCAATCCATGACTGGGCGGTATGGACAATATCATCAGGTTATATTGATAATCACTAGAATTATATATTTCACCTCAACATCACCCTCTTGAATGTATTATGGACCACGTTGGTCGATACAAAACTTCAGGTGCCATTAACAGTCACAACAGGAGATTCTGGGATAAGAGTCTTGGAACTAATGTGGTCAGGAAGCAGTTTCGTCCTGAATTTGATCTTTTCTTCCACATCCATCTTATCTTTTTACAATTCTACGGATTATATGTTGCTTTCAAACATGTAAAACAACACTTTGGTTGAGACACTGCAGCTTATAGAATATTAAGGCCACATTACAATTTTTCCAGAGTTAAAGGCCTTCTAAGACCTGAATGGAATGTTATGTTACAAAATTCAAATGTTGGAACACAAAACTAAAAGCAATACAAAGCTAAACTATGTGACACAGAGAATGCTATTTGTCAAAAGCGCATTTATTGGAAGGATCTCAAATTCAAGTGAGTGATAGTACACGATAGAGGAATTTAACATTTTCACACATCACATGAAACTAAAGCCTATTACTTCCAATATCCTTCAGAGATATCCAAAAAAAACAAAATATAATTCACAACTTGTTAAACCCAGTAGCTTCCAAAACACGATAAACAAAATATAATTCACAACTTGTTAAACCCAGTAGCTTCCATAACACGATAAACAAAATATAATTCACAACTTGTTAAACCCAGTAGCTTCCATAACACGATAAACAAAATATAATTCACAACTTGTTAAACCCAGTAGCTTACAAAACACGATAAACAAAATATAATTCACAACTTGTTAAACCCAGTAGCTTCCAAAACACGATAAACAAAATATAATTCACAACTCGTTAAACCCAGTAGCTTACAAAACACGATAAACAAAATATAATTCACAAAATCGTGGTATAATTTTGTACAGAAACTAATATTGAGACATCTGCTGTAATGTGTTATGTCAGGAATAATACTTACAAGAACAACCTGTCTGCTAGCAAACCTTTTGACAGGAATACAGATATAAATAGTAAAAAAATACAATAAGCTCTTGCTACACTACTCAAAGTTTGCTAGGGATCTATGTTTCTCAGTGTTATCAAACACCAATATTATAATAGGGATCTATGTTTCTCAGTGTTATCAAACACCAATATTATAAATCTCTCGGTACTAGATCCACGACTTTTATCAGGTGAAGACACATGAACGAAGTGTTTTTGTCATAGTTAAGTATGATATGCATAATTCCACAAGTCTTATCTTGGGAATCTTCTGATGGTTCTAGGTCCTAGAAATTCAAATTATAATTTGTATTTCGTGTTATTCAATCATTTTAACTGAAAACGATGCATAATAACGTTTTGTTTAATAATATGTTACGAAGCTTATTTTAATGGATATCATTCGGTTACAGATGATTATATATTAGACTCGTTTCAAAAACCAAAAGGAACGTAGTTAAGATTAAGATGAGCATATTCAATCATGTCATATAGAAAGTTGGTACTACATGGAGGAATTTATATTGATATTCCATAATTAAAAACTTCAGAAACCTGGGATATTTCATAACTCGCTGAAATTATTACAATTTGAAGCTCCTTAAACCTAGTATATGCTTTATCCATTCCAGCTCAAAACTTGTTAAACCTTATACAATTCATACCATGTTAAACCTAGTATAGACACATTTAATTCGTTACTACTCAAAAATCGTTAAAGTTATAACTCACAATCTAGTAAAAATTACAACATAATAAACTTATAAAAGTTCACAACTCGTTAAGCCTAGTAGTTTCACAAGATGATAAGGTATAATTCACAACTTGTTAAACCCAGTAGCTTCCATAACACAATAAGATTAATGGAACTGCTGATCCTTATGCCAAGGTAAACATCAAGTTTTGATGGTTACAAATTCACATATTTTTTTTATATAAGCAGGATTAGTACCCAGGCAAAAGGCTTACACTTAAACTGTCAGGAAAAAGAACTTTTGTTTTTGTATAACGTTTCAGCTCACGAGTTTTTAAGTAGGAAACGAGGAAGAAAGACATATTTAGCTAACGTGGTGGGGGTAAATGTGGAGATTTGGAAGAGATCCATGAGTTAAGCGAAACACCGTCATTGTTTGTTTGTTTGTAATTATGCACAAAGCTACAAAACGGGCTATCTGTGCTCCGCCACCATGGGTATCGAAACCCGGTTTCTAGCTTTGTAAGTCCGCAGACAAACCGCTGTGCCACTGGAGGGCGAAAGACCGTCATATCGCTCAGTTTATGTTAAAAAAAACAGTACAGAGTCGAAAATGATAAGAAATTTTAACTCTTTTTGTCCAATGATTAGTGTGAAATAGATACACCTGGACCTTTGAAACATGGAAAATTATTGTTCTTCAGCAGGTGTGATAGTCTAGCTACCCTAACCAAATAACAGATTGTAGATGATATCGGCATACAGCTGGCATAAAGTGCTGCCACAGGCGTCTCAATAGTTAGTGTCTAAAATCCCTAGAAATTGCAACAGTGAACTCCTCATCCATGGAAACATATCTTAAGAAAACCTATCTTTTCGATTTGTTAGTTGGTATACATCAAGCATCACATAAGAAGATGACCTGTGGCAGTCTGGAACTTTGACAATAACGATAGTCTGGGTTATGCGGATTATTTCAAACTAGAAAAGCAAAATGGAGAATCATTTTGTACAACTTGCATGCTACATTACAAACCTGGAAACGACTATACATCAGTCATCACTTACTTGGCTGTCATTTTTTCTAACAAAGCTGCAGACAGGCATGTCACTTCATGTTCTTGATAGTATCTTTCAGATACAAGATTTGAGCATCAGGAATAGAACAGTTCGGAGTGGATATCAAGCACTTGTGTGAAGATTTATGCTCAAAGCCTTGGTGTTAAACACATGTCCAAAGGACAGTTTTCAGTAGAGCACACAAGTGGAAATGAGAACGTTTTAGCAACAGTGGTTGATAGAACATGCATTTATATAGATAAAAGTGGCAGTTGCACTTCCAAAGTCGCTCATGTAACATGCAGAAAATACAAAAACCTGTGATGGTAACTGGAACCAGTGGACACATCCTTGAGGCCAAATTATGCTGAGAAACGCAACAATGATGCATTTGATTCTGGACTGCCATCTGGAGAATGGTAATTCGGGTTGTGCTTCTAGTTTGTTTTTTTACTGAAGGAAAATAAAACCTTTAACAAATTGTTCTCACTCTTAAAACCGCCTCCCAGTGGCACAGCGGTATATCTGCAGACTTATAAGGCTATAAACCGGGTTTCGATACCCGTAGTGGGCAAAGCACAGATAGCCCATTATGTAGCTTTGTGCTTAACTTCAAGCAAACAAACAAACTCTTAAAACCATTACTGTATTCCATGGTTGCAATAATGGAACATTTTTCTACATACAATTCTGAATAATTATCATATTTCTGTAACTGAAGAAGTGTGTACTATATCATGGGGGATGGGGACGGATAAAGTAGTTAAAACATTTTTCGATAATGCATAGATTTCCGAATGTGGGCTGCAGAACAAGACACAATAAAGCATGAAAAGCATGATGGTTGGTTCTTGGACAACTTTCCATCCTTTATGACTCGCCTCAATGATCAATTGGTCACACATCTTGTTGTGACGCCATATTCTCATCGGCTTCAATTTCGGGCATTGACCACTTAGATAACACAGGGTTTCCCTCAATAATTTTGAAATTATTTGTTTGTTCAAAGCTACACACGGGGCTATCTGCACTGTATTCGTTGCGGTGATCGAACTCTGATTTCTAGCACTATAAGCCCTTAACCTTACCACTGAGCTACTGAAAGACAAAATTATTTATAAGAGCACTACTAGACGTTACTGGAATATATTAGAGCTGTAACATATCTTCCCCATCACATACACACACCATCATAGTTCGAAAATGTTTCTAGTTACTCAAGTGTGTAGTGAATTAGATATGTTTGAGAATCTTTGCCATAATGCAAGGGAATCTGCTCTGTCCTTATGGGGATGTGCCCTTTGAAATATATTCACAGCTAGAAATATTCTTGTACTGCAAAGGATGAAGCTTGCTAGAATCTTCTCTGTCCTTATGGGGATGTGCCCTTTGAAATATATTCACAGCTAGAAATATTCTTGTACTGCAAAGAATGAAGCTTGCTAGAATCTTCTCTGTCCTTATGGGGATGTGCCCTTTGAAATATATTCACAGCTAGAAATATTCTTGTACTGCAAAGAATGAAGCTTGCTAGAATCTTCTCTGTCCTTATGGGGATGTGCCCTTTGAAATATATTCACAGCTAGAAATATTCTTGTACTGCAAAGGATGAAGCTTGCTAGAATTTGCTCTGTCCTTATGGGGATGTGCCCTTTGAAATACATTCACAGCTAGAAATATTCTTGTACTGCAAAGGATAAAGCTTGCTAGAATCTGCTCTGTCCTTATGGGGATGTGCCCTTTGAAATACATTCACAGCTAGAAATATTCTTGTACTGCAAAGGATGAAGCTTGCTAGAATCTAGACGTATTAAAAGATTATCATTGAGATCTTTAGACCTTTATGATTCAGTAGTACTTAAATCCCTTGAATATCGACTTTTGTGTATAAGCTTCGGTCTACTTCCTTAAGCCTTTATTAGAATGATTTAATAGCTCCAGTTCCATGTAAACATTTGAAGTCAAATACGGATTAATTATTCTTTTATCGAAATGATAATTATCTTTATCCGAGTACAAGACAATGTTTTCATGTTATGTTCAAAAGTATATAATACGTGGACAATATATTGTAATGTTTTTTTGATAGGTTACATTTCCTTTATAAAACGACTATTGTCAAGTACCTTTTCCAATCTTTCGATATTTTCTTTAAAAAGTGGAGTGTTTACTAATTTTAAAGATCTTCAAATTGGATAATTTCTACAGTGATATTTTGATTCATATGTTATCTGTATTTTTTTTTGTGAAGTATTAGTGTACATATAAACATTGAATATAGAACTATGCTTTCGTGAACGAGGCACAGGATGTATCTTAATTTTGATCAAGGAAAGTATTACTTTTGGTTTTGATTGTTTGAATTTCGCGCAAAGTTACACGAGGGCTATCTGCGCTAGCAGTCCTTAATTTAGCAGGGTAAGACTAGAGGGAAGGCAGCTAGTCATCACCACACACCGCCAACTCTTGGGCTACTCTTTTACCAACGAATAGTGGGATTGACCGTCACATTATAACGCCCCCACAGCTGAAGGAGCGAACATGTTTGGTGTGACGGGGGGGTCGAACCCGCGACCCTCGGATTGCGAGTCGAGCGCCCTAACCACCTGGCCATGCCGGGCCATTTGGTTTTGAATACCTAGTATTTCATTTACTTTAATATAAAACAACACTAACATAAAATATTCGCATTGTTTCATGTAGCCATCTTGACTTTCAACTACTCGAATGTACTATCAAAGGGTATTATTTTGAAATATGTAAGTTTCATATACGTTTCGTATTTCCTATATCTGTGTAATGTTCTACAGGTTAGGCTATTGTCAGATCCCGAGAATTTTCGTCTAAGTTCCGTGCACCACAAGACGCTGAACCCGAGTTTTAAAGAAGACTTTGTGTTCATCATTCCAGAAGATGAGTTACAGCAACAAACCATTGAAGCCCTGCTTTATGATTACGACCAATACTCTCGACACACGTGCTTAGGTCGTGTGCGGGTTTCTCTACAAAATCTTGATTTAACCGAAAAAGTTACTTTGTTGGAAAGAATAACACAATGTGAAGAAGAAGATGAAAAGGTGAGATTTTAAATGTTAAATTGAACTCGTAATTATGTTGTTTCTCAGTAAATCTTAAAGATAAGTAGTGTTAAAAATTCACAGTGATGTCTTTTGTTTCGAGTCATAGGAGGCGGAACCACTATGAATCTGAATGGTGACAACCCCCTTCGGGCAACTTTCGCATTTTTAATGACTTTTCCGAAAGAAATCCCAACTTAAATCAAGTCAGTAATAATGTTGACAATTACAACTTGCCTCTTATTTTTAAGCTTTACAAGCTGTTTTACCGAATTTATTATATTTTCAATGTGGTTGGTTTTATTTGTTGGAGAGTGACACTTTACTAGTTTGCAAAAGTTGGGGGAGGGGGACAAGTGTTCTAAATACCCCCCCCCCCCCTTATTCGGCAGCCTATTGTTTGTGGAATATAATGTCGAACAAAATAAAATATAGCCAGTGATGTCCCGAAGCATGATATGGATATAACCATGATACACTGCTTGATAAATAGAGCAGTAATGTGAGATATAAAACCCATGGTTATTGGAAGACGGGCCAATAATCATGGTTGTACCTAAGCACAACATATCGAGATTCTTACCGTGTAATAAGAATATGAAGTCCATATTTTGTGTATGTGAAAGATAATAGGTAAAGTTTCCTTTGTACTTACTGATACGTTTGTACATTTTAAAGATATCGAAGTGATAATCCAAAATGTGATAATTAAAATACATTGAAACGTTTGAAGCTGAAAATTGATAACTTAGCTAAACATATATTGATTAACAGAGCCATGTTGTACGTTAAAATTGAGTGGATTCACTATTAAATTCCATCTGAACTGGACGAGTCTATGTGACTTCTATGGAGGTACGATTAGACGCTTGAGATTTGGGTTTATTATCCTTTATAGGGAAACCTTATTCCTTGTGTTTAAGTAGTTAAATACTCGCATTCTTTATCGTTGTGAGGATGTGGTAAGTTAGACTCATTGCTAGAAATTAGAATGTTTAGATAAAACTTTGTAAAAAATAACATACGCGTGGAGTAGTTGTCTACTCTTATTAAATAACACATCCCAATAGAAACTAAAATAACAATGTACGTGTGGAGTAGTTACAAACTCTTATTACTAAGGTACACGTACCAATAAAACTAAAATAATAACAATGTATATGTGGATTAGTTATCTACTCTTATTAAATAACACATCCCAATAAAACTAAAATAATAACAATGTACGCGTGGAGTAGTTGTCTACTTTTGTAATGGAACATATACTAATAGAACATGGAATTGCATTGGTACTGCTCAATTTATCAAGAGAATATAAGGTTCTTATTAATCCTGACAATTTCAGAATTTTTTTTGTGTATCTTGCAACAGTAGTACAATACACTAGAGTCGTGAGTGTAATCCTGAACCAACGAAACAATGTTTGTCTTTTCCCTTTACATCTCACATTTGTTCTTTTTTAAACTGTTGTTATGCTCTCATAATTTGCTCTTACATTTAGTTCTTCCAAATGATTTAAATCTTTTTATCTTAGTTTCTTCCATTGTGAAATCTTTGTAATATAAGAGAAATATAGCATGCATCTATCCGTACCTTAAAGTCTTTGATGGCAGTTTATCACTCCATCTTCGGTTTCCATTTGCTTCATTCACTAAAAACTTATTTGTCAAATTCGTCGTATCTCGAGCGACGGTTTCTTTACATGTCGATACTTCTAAGAAAACATATCAGTATATATATATATATATACATATATCCAAGCCAGCATTAAGGTAGTTTGAGGCCCTGGCACACTTATTTTTTGAGGCCCTAGCACACTTATTTTTTTGAGGCCCCCTTGAATAGGGTACAAGCAAATTTGAAGTTAATTATAATTAATACATATTAAGTTGATTATAGGATATGAGCTAATTATTCGAAGTAAATTATATTATCTTTTAAGGATGATATATTAAAATTAAATAATGAAATAAATAATTAATAATTATTTACTTGTACAACATGGCTAGTAAGAATGAATTAGGCATATAAAAAAACAATATAGTTATTGAACAACATTACCAAAACATTACCCCAAAGTCGTTTTTTCCTTGCTTTAGCGCAAGCAAAATTTCTAATTACATCTTCATAATCTATTTGCCTAAGCAATGCCCTTTCTATCTTGAGCAAGGAAAGGACATTTAAGCATTCATTTAACATCGAAGCACACAATTCATTTTTTACTCTAGCCATTTTAGAAAAAGCTCTCTCTGCACTGCAATTCGTGACAGATAGGCACAAGTATATTCTTAATGTCACGTCAGCATCAGGAAAAACAGATTCAAGTTTTTTTTTTCTGATTGCTTTGATGCATTGTTGGGGCCGATTTTTAACTATCAAAAAATTTCGTAAACTGTACCATTTCATCGGGAAACGAGCTGTCTACATCTGGAGAGTATATGTCTCCCAATCTTTCAGCTGCAGCAAAAATTTCATTTCTGTCACTTTATATGCAGCAAGTTGATTTTTCAAACACATTTGTAACTTTTGAACTACCAGTATAAAATTATCTACGCGAAATAATGGCCATTATTAGTCTCAAAGTGGGTTCCTCGTCATCGAATTTGAATTTATCTACGCGAAACTTCTGAGCTCCAGATAAACAAATTTCACCTTCAGAAGTCTCATCATTTGCCAGCTTTCTTTTTCTCTTTCTAGAAATCTCACTTCTAAACTGTTCTTCTACTATATTTGAAAGATGATGAGTTTGAATTTCGATTCTGTCCAATTCTTCACATTGTGAATTTACATATTCCTTCAGAGAACTGAGAAGCTTTACAGCAGTAGACCAATCAGGGTTTTTTTTTCTTGAAGCTTAGCACTTATAGCATCAAATCTTTGAAGACTTTTATACCAAAACACTGTCTAACGTTCTCATTTTATTCACCAAAGCAGTATTTTCATTTCTTTATAATTGCCTTGAATCAATATCCCTAGATAAATCTTTAAGGTTGGTATAAATTCTGTCGTAGTTTTCATACAGAATTTTTGTTGAAACTGATCTGGCTGACCATCTTGTTCCACTGAGGTTCTTAAAAGTAACTGGCCTCCCGTCATCGCTTCTTAAGCCATCACAAATGGTTTACCAACGCTTGGTTGAAGAAGCACAAAAATTGTACAGAGCTTGAAGAAAATTTAAAAAAATTCGATGCACATTTTCACTGCATTTACGCTTACTAGATTTAATGAGCGTGCTGCACAAGGGATGTAATCAATATATTGGTTTATATTCTTGAGATGCACTTGTAGGCCATTGTATTTACTGGACACATTTGCTGAATTATCGTACGATTGTCCACGTGCATTTTGAATTATTTAATTTTTCTACAACTTCAGCCATTAATTTTCCTGTATGCCCATTTGAAGAATCATAACCAACAAAACGCCCCTGTGTATCACCTACCTCGTCCACGTATAGCAATATTATAGCTAACTGATCTGAGTGTGAGACATCGGGTGAGGAATCTACAATAATTGAAAAGTATTTAACATTGCGAATTTCATCAGCAATTGTCTTAGAAATTTTATTAGCCATCAAAATAATAATTTCTTCATAAACTGCGGAGGATAAATACGAGGTAACTCCACGCCCGGCCTTTATTTCCATGCATTTCAAGGTGCTTGGTCAAGAATGGATTGAATTTAGCTGCAAATTCTAATGCAGCTAAAAATCGCCATTGTTGAAATCTTCAATCTCCTCTCTATCCCCTCTAAGTGCTAATCCTCTTCCACAAAAGAATTTTAGACATTCAACAACTCGATGCAATACCTTCCGCCAATATCGTATTTCGTTTTCTAAATCATTGTTTAACTTTGATTCCACAGTTTCTATGCTATTAGTTTGTCCCATCCAGCAGTGCACAGAATAAATGTGGGTATTACTTTTTCATGGTTTTGTATAGCTCTAGTGCCATGCGACCAATCGCAGAATTCTTTTATAAAAGAGTCGTTGGAATCTTTAAAAATGATGCAAAAAAAATCTTCCAGAAAAGAGGATTTATCAACCAATCTCGTTTTTTTTCGTTTCGCCGTTTTTTAAGTTTAATCTTTAAAAAGTTCAATGAACAGCATATCTGAACATCTGTTGAATGCATACCTTTCTTTAACGCTGAAATATCTGGCTCTGCTATATTTTGTTCTAGAATCATATTTTTAGGAGTCCAAAATTCTATTATTTTTTTCTGTTCACTAGCCATAACGCTGGATCAGACGATTCTCCCCAGTGGCACAGCGGTATGTCTGTGGACTTACAACGCTAGAATCCGAGTTTCGATACCCGTGGTGGGCAGAGCACAGATAGCCCATTGTGTAGCTTTGTGCTTAATTACAAACAAACAATCCTTTTGCGAATCATAAGGGGCTGAAGCTGCACTTTCAGTCGTGGGGGCATTATATTGTGATGGTCAATCCCACTATTCTTTGGTAAAAGAGTAGTTCAAAAGTTGGCGGTGGTGGTGATGACTAGCTGCCTTCCCTCTAGATAGCCCTCTTGTAGCTTTTCGAGAAATTCCAAACAAATAAACAAACTTTTAATATTTAAAATCAAAGGATGAATAAAATAATTAAAAGGTCAAATTAATATATTGTTTTGACCCACTCTCCACGCCTACTTCTACCTTGCTGTAAATTACAATTTGTCAATAGATTTTTCTAAGGCCGACTCCAATTAAATTTATAACCAACAGATAGCTTAGATCTCAATTCATTGACTGGCATATGTTTTACCACGTGATGTTACAGATAATTGACAATTTAGCTGGAGAGAGAAAAAATTCCCAGGAGAACATAGTGGGAGTTAAAGTACGATTCTAACTGCTCAAGTTACTGCTCAATGTGTTATTCCCTGCATTATTTACTTTAAAAAATTATTTTTTGGACTAGTACCATTGATGTAAAATAGTAGGACTAACACAGAAAGACAGTTGACGGTAAAAAACAACAACGATTACACAGGTGAGTGA